TGTCTGTGCTTCTTACAGCACTCCTGCTCTTTCACTAAAGTTCCTCCAGGACCTGGTCTCTGCTGTGGTTCAGATTTTGGTCCACAGAGGACGCCTGCAGGGCTGGAAGCCAGAGAGGATGGGGGACATCTCCCTGGGTGTAAAACTCCTGGCAGAGCAGATGTGCTCTGAGCTCAAACCATCAGGTAGAGCTGATTTGGAAGTTCTTGAATATTTTAGAAACTCTGACTTAATCTACTTTAAATCTGCTACTTCCCTTTTTCTCATTAGATGAGGGGGCTTGTGATGTTTCCTGTCTGGAAGACTGGATCTTCAGGGTACAGCAGGTATCACAGTACCTGGAGCTGCTGGTAGCTGAGGGACTGAGTGTGTCTTTGAGCAGCCGGCCAGCCCCGACGCTGCTGCCCCCCTGCAGGGAGACGCCTTGGAATGAACTGAAGTGTCTACTGGACATCCCCAGCCTCATGTTTCTGGCTCCACAGGTCAGTGTATACCAGCATATCTTTGCTTTTTATGGAGTCAAAAAAAACAAAAAACTTTCAGACACCCTGAAACATTTTGGTGTTACACTTCTGTTTTTGCCTCGTTAATGAGAACTTAGTTGTGTTACTGCAGTGCAAACAGCAAACATATAAACTGTATTCAGGTGCTCTAGTTTTTAGAAACGCAGCGATCCAGACGACTCTAGTTCCAACACGAGACCTACACCTTGACATCAGTTATCTGGTGCTGCTTCAGATGTCTCATATCTGTGTGACATTAATAAGCTGTTTCTCGGTGTGAAGACGACAAATCTTTCCTTTATTTGAATAGAATAGAATAGAATAGAATAGCCTTTTATTGTACATGTATGTACACAGCAAATGTACACAGTACAGGTACAATGAAGTGTAATGCTGTAGCTACACTCGCAGTCTAACATATGTATGTTCAGTAAGTCGATCTTTTTACTGGCTGCACCTGGTGTGGTCTGTACAGGTGGGTGCCAAGCAGTGTTGGCCAAGTTACTTGAAAAAAGTAATCAGTAACTAATTACTGATTACTTCCCC